ATATATATATATATATATATATATATATATACTTTTATATCCTAAAGAAGCCACACATCAAAGAAAAATGTGGGTGTATGTATCGCATTTACTCCCTAGGGTTGGTATATAACCCTTAAAATACAACGGTGATTACTATAAGAGAATCAAATCCAAGACTCTAACTAAGTTCAAGTTGTCAAGTTTTCTCATGTAATGAAGAATTCCCGAGAGAAGCGACTGGATTGTACTAGATGGGTATGGCTTACAAATCTTGTTACGAGTTTCATTTGTATAAACACACCACCATTTGTTAAGTAGCTCCTTTGAACAGCTGGGAGTAAGTTTATCCTTCTCAGTTGACCGAGTGTGCAGGACAAGTACTGTCAGTGTTCTTGCTGTTTTTGGTCATTTGTGTCTTGCCATAATGCTAAAGACCTCCTCAGACACAGTAGCAAATCTTTCCTCCTGTTTCCTGCCTCTAAAGGACTAAGAAACCCTGTGTTTCTTTGATGGAGTTTGATCTTTGTTCTCCTTGTTCTTGGCCATTTTGAATTGCTTCTGCCATGTGACCCTACTGCGCATGCTCATGCAGTATGTTTGAGACACGTGTTCCATATAAATTTGAGGTGTGGCTTTTTCAGGTAATAATTTAATATACCACACCGGTTTGGTGTATATGGCTTAAGGCGGGTTCTCAATATGATGCATGCACGTCTGTCACGACTGGAAGTGCTGCATAAACCAATGGAGCATGCGTCAATGCGTCAGATTAGAAAACATTTCTATTCTGATGCATTGACGCATACTCCTATTGGTTTATACAGCACTTCTGGTCATGACGCTAGCGCATGAAAAACAATGCATCATATTGTGAACCCACCTTTATATACGACCCTCACCCTTCGGCTCCACCCTCGGGCTCGGGTCGTATATAAGCCATATACACCTCACCGGCATGGTATATCATATACATATAATCCATGGTATTTGTTGAATGTTTTAAGTAAATTTAACAATCTGAATCAGCTAAAAAAATTTACGTATTCATATCTTTCCTGTCAATGGTATTTCTGATTTATAATGATATTTATTGGGATACTGTAAATTAAAAATTTTTCAGGCCGCCATTGTGGAGGTATTGTTGCACTGTTTTCAATGGAGCTCAATACACTTTCTGCCATTTTGTAAGAAGAGCAAGCAGTTATAGCCTCAAGAGTAAAAGATTGCAACCTTTACCTTTTTTTTCATAGCTCTGCAACTATTTGGAGCCACTGGAGTGATGCGGAGAAGTATAGAATTGACAGTTTTAGCCTGTTGGTCCACTGTAGCAAGTGATAGTATACCTCCACAATGACAGCCTGAAAAATTTTTGATTTATAGTATCCCAGTGGATATCATTATGAATCAGAAACATTAATCACAGGAAAGATATAAATAAGGACATGTAGATATGGAGATTACTTTTAATGGCATTTTTGATTGAGTATCAAGGTGGGGTTTACTTCTCAATATAATTCAATGCTTTTCATCAGCTTGTGTCTTGACCAAAAGTACAAACAAATGGTAGCATGTGTCAATAAATCAGAGTAGAAAAAATTTTATCATTACTCATGACCCATGCTTTTAGATACAAACACAAGTAATTGAAATCAATGTTTTATGTTAAGAAGCCACCTTCAGGCTTGCCACAAAGTGTAGTAAAAGCTAAAATGCTACATGAGTTGACAAGATTCAGAGCACTATGTCAAATTTTATTGAGAAACTCTGAGTCTGATGTAGTGCAGGGTTGGGCTGGGTCAAGCACTGTAAACTTGAGTTTTAAGTTAGCTTAGGCACGAATAATTGAGTGCTTTGAAATCCTTTAATTATAAAAATAAACTTTAGTCATAATGCAAGTACTGGTACTTAAAGCATACACATTTTAAAGCTTTTTAAAAGTATGTTGTAGTGTCAGGTATACTTAAGTGTTCCATACAAATCAGAGCAGTTCTTCCTCTCAACTAGATCTAGCTGTTATCATTAATTTTATTTGCATAGGTGTTACCCTTGTTGAAAATTATGATGAAGTTATGATCCCTCCATTTGTTCAAGGCATTGAGAATGAATATTATAATAAAATGGAGAGCAAAGATAGTGATAATGAGCAAGGTGAGTGGCTATTTATTCCTGAAAATACATGTATGACTAAATTTTGCAAAGATTAACTAAAGTTAATTTTA